AGTGTACCATCTCCTAATGCTACTTCCATTGGGATAATTCACAAAGCTCAAATTATCTCAAACTGGTCTCTTGAAGATGAAAGTCATGAAAGTGAGTTCGCTGTACTCTAGTGGTCTCCTGCTCTGGCTTGGCAGTTCATTGTAAGAGATTGAGCACAACACGTTCTTAGGGACACAATTTTAATTGATCAACAACATGAAGTTCTTATTATCCAGTGATGCGCCAGGCTGATGGAAAACTTCTTTCTAATTGCTCAACTCTCCAGGTTAAATCTCTGTTGTGAGCAACAGCTTAACCAACCAGTTTGGTGTCCACCATGACTTTGCATTTTGGATGAGGAAATATCCCACTGACAGATGATCTGCGTGGCCCAGTCCAAACAAATGATGGCATCATTTTATACATTTTTGTCTTTACTTGAGAGGACAACTGAAAAGAGACAGGGGACGTCAAGAATACAGAGTGAAGGAGTCATGCTGCAAAGCGAATGGCGTCCTTGATGAGGGCTAAAGCCTCCAGACTTGGGCACGCTGAAACCGCTAGCCAACAGTGCTCCATGGCATCATGTTTTACAGAATTATACTCATCCTCAGGATCACTTTGACAACCTGAATAATGGGCTGATGCTAGTCATAATGTTTCAGCATATCAAATGAGTTTTGATAATGCATACCTTGTAAAAAATAAAAGTTTGAGAAAACTAGTTCTGGTTAAGCACCTATGATATACCTCCTTCAAGGAACATTTAAAGCACGGGTGTCAAACTCAACTCTGTGGCCCACAAGATCATCTCATATTTGTGTTATAATTGGCCCACCAGTATAAAGTCTGCAGATTACCTCTAGTATAATAACGTAAACTTTAGCACCATTATTTAAAATGTCCTTAATAAACCACAAAAATCTGGGAAATTAAAGCGTAAGGCAGATTTGATAAATAGTCAAGAATGTGGGGGAAAATATTCAGTGTTTTTTCTTTTCATGTTTTCAATTTTGCATTTCAAGATTACAAGTCAAACATGATTGGATTTTTTATTTGATGCTTTGATTTTGTTCAACTCCGTATTTAGACTTGTGTCATTTTTATACTTTAGATTCCAATTTTAAATTTTAAGTCATTTTTTGACCTTTTAAACCTGATTTCAACGTTCTCCTCATGTATTTGATCTTTAAATGCATTATTTTTCTATTTTTAATATCATGCTCTGATCTTTTGAACTAATAAATAAAAATAGAATAAAAAAATTAAATGTTTCAATCTCAGATTGCCTTTAAACTTATCTTTTTTTATCTTTTTTGAATTTCCAAATGATTTATAATCATTGCTATTTTTGTTACATATTTTTTGAAAAGTAGGGTTGACAGTTTTGGTGAAATGTTGACCCTGTTTGGCCCTCAGGTTGGACCTAAATCCAGATTATGGCCCTTGCTGTGGCTGAGTTTGACACCCCTGATTTAAAGGATGTTATCAGGTGAAAAAGTAAGAACACCTACCATTTTCTGTACTATTTAATCAACACTTCTAATATAACAAATCCTCCTCTTAATAATATTACCTGGAAATAGTTTGGCCTCTTACCATCACAGGGGAAAGTAGAAGTGACAGAGGCTAAGGGGTGTTATCTGGGATCAATCTCTAATATTCTATATTAGTGAATGCACATCCCAGTCCACTCACCCATATTTGTCATTCTGTTCTCTGGTTTAGCTAGCAAATACACAGACTTAGAGATCTTTATTTTCAAACTTTTGCGTTATCCAAAAAGTAAACCTACAGGAGTCCTTAAAGGTACATTGTCATATCGCCCAGCAAAAGTTTAGGGTTTAACTAAAAACCCTCATGACAGGTACATACTGTGTCTTGTCCTCACATGATACATCTCACTGTCCAGGATGCAACGAAAGCTTTCGTGAGAGGTAAACTGATTTTGCACAGTCATGCATTGTTATTTCCTGTAAAACTGCAGGGGTGTAAAAGTCAAGTTGGGTGAAGTTACAGCTTTTATTATCTATGTCTAGGCCTATTGTTCAGTGCTGAATTGTCCATTGTACCAAGAATACTTTTCCTTACACAATCATTTACATCAGTTTGGACTTACCTCAAAGCTGCATATTAATCTCAATAGGCCTATTGATTCACTACATAACTGAATAGACTGGTTTGATGACACTAATAGGTGGCCAGGGCAGGGATTTTCACCTGAAAGGCTCTGGCTTAAGTGTACACCACTGTGGTCGCAACTGGATTTGTAGGGCATGAGGTGTAAGATTCAGGGTGTGTTAACAATAGAAAGTGAGGCAATACACATGAGGTTGTTCAAGTAAATTCAACTTTCTTCCTATGTTTTACTTTTTGTTACTAATAGCATGTTATACTGCAGGATGTCTCACAAGATATTCATATTTTCATTATGTTATTTAAGTAACTGACTGTTTGTATTCCCATAAAATATCCAGCTTTTCCCATATAAACTTTTTAATGATGTTTCACCAGCAAGAGGCCGTTAAATCTGAATAAGAAAGCCCTACGCAGCGATGTCATGGGTGCTACAGCCAGTCCTGTTTCAGGTTTTAAGATTACGTTCAGTAACATGAGATTGAATTAAATCTTGCACTTGGATCTCGGTTACAGCCAAGTAATAACTGAGAAGGTATTAAACAAAAGAGAGACAGACGAGCAAGGGCGTTTTACACAAGTTAGTGCAGAAAACAAACAAACTAGCTGTAATAAAGAGGCTAATGTACAGTGGAGAAGGAGGTGTATGTAAGAACATGAATATATAATAGTCTGGATGTAAAGTGCAAAGTAAACTTAGTGTGAACCGAGAGAAGTTAAATGCTAAATCTGAAACCCAAAAAAAGGCATCTCAAACTTGACAGTAGGCTGAAAGAAAACAACCAAGGCCAGTAACTATGATTGATTTAGCAAGAGTCTCTTTTTTTATAGAGTAAAGAACTTGTCTAATTAAATTCTGCATACTGTATGTCAGTTAATTTTGCTGAATCATGTTGCCTTTGAACCTCCGTCAGTGAAGTATCATACTTTTGAGAGTTGTTGTTTTTATCCTTGACATTAATCTTTAGATTTTTGATGATTCACTCTGACGTGATTGTGGGGTTTTCACATGGAAAGGAGAGGCTGAAAAGAGAGGAAAAGTTTCAGAGTGATGAAATCACACAGAGGTGTCAAATACATAGGTCTGATCAAAGCGTCATTCAACTCTGACTCCACTGTTACATTCCTCTGGCTGCTCAGTCTGTTTACAGTTTATATTTCCATTCACCTCACTCAGTCAGACTTCCGTTTCCATTTGCCATTTCTAAGCCACCTCCTATCAACTTGCTTGATGTTTATGTTAAATGATTATTTCAGTTTTGTCCTCATCACACAGAATTAACTAAATGTTCTAGCTGTAGCCTACTGCAAGAGATTATCCAATACAATTCTCTTGATGACAGCAATCTTTACTTTTAAAAATGAATTTTTGCAACATGTACAAAAACAGAAGTTTGGCAGGATGGACCTCTTGAAGAGAAGATCCGACACAAGACCACGCCCTGTTTTGTCGCCAGACATTGGTATTAGTGTATGAATCCCACTGTACAACTCATGCTGCAACATCATGGAAAAATACTCACATTTTGAAACGTCACATTAGCAACAGAAATTGCAAAACAGAAAGCAGAGAGATTTTTTGATCAAAACTCTCACGGTACATAGTCACCTGGTAATGTTTTTAAGTCCAACATAAAAAAAAATGATTAAGTAAATAACTGCATTAAGTGGAGATAAGTACTGATGTATCGGTCTATATTAAGAGAGATGTGTCACTTTTACCATTGTTATGAGGACAAATTAATAAGAAATGCTTATTGAGATTTTTCATAGCCCACTACATATTGCAATTTCTTTCATTTTAATTTCATCTTAATATTGCAATCATTTTCAAGATTTACATACATTTATTTGACTGACACAGTATTGCAAACTCATTCCAAAACCAACTTTCCTTTTATTTATTTAAATAAAAAGAGATCCCGTTCTTACTTACCCATCTGCTTTAAATTAGGAAACTCTTTGATGAGTGATATGAGAGATGTAAAATTTCACAATATGTATTTTACTAATGAAGGGCAGAACTAAATAATTTTGTTTCTCAAATCAGACTATTTCCATGAGTCTAGTTTTACCATAATGTTTGTGTAGTATCACAAATTTGCTCATTTTATTGGCATATGTGGCCAAAGGTCTGTATTACTTGCGGTAATCATTGCTCTCTATTTCTCAGCCCATCCTACTGCAATAAACGTGGGTCTGTTTCTGGTTCCTGGATAACAAAAAGAAATATTATCTTACCAGTGAACCATGTGTTCATGGTAGATTTATGTTGGGTCTTTTTAAACAGTTTAACAAAGTGTACGGAGTGTTGTGCAACTGTTTAGCTTTTTCTAGTTTTAAACTGCAGAGTTTGCGATACTGTTGACTACAGGTTAGGCCATTGAGATATACTTTGTACCTGACATGTTTTGCAGAGCAAAAAGACTACTTGCTTTTTGGTACCATCCTCAGGGTAAAATGCATCTTTTTTATTTAATTTAATTCACCACAATTCAAATGTAAATCATCTAAAATGTCAGTAAAAACTTTTCCTCTGTCCTCTCATTTCAAAGCCTACATAAAAATGGCACAATAATGATTACATGAACATACACCGACACACAAAACTGAGTCAAAACTTGTCTAAATTACACATACTGTATAAAGTGTTTGATACAAAAATATGCTGTTAAAACCATGTACCCACCATAGGGATGCTAGAAGGTTAATGTTTCATAACTCATGAAAGAAATTAAGCAACTGATTAAACATTTGGGTCATCTGTAAGTGGGCGGTAAACTTCCTCCTCTGCCCCTCCCTTACATCCCAGTCTTGCCCAATCCTTACCCCTGGCACAGCTCCGCCCAGCCCACCTTCTGTACCGGGGCAGCATATATTAGCAGCAGCCCGTCCTGCATGGAAGACAAGCATCCTTCTGCACTGAAACAGAGTGATCACAGCTACAAGAGATCCCACTGATCTTCTACAAGATTGACTAAAGACCACAGAAAACAGGTGAGCTTTAAATTGATTCTACTTCATCTATTTTCTAATGCCTGTGTAAATACAGCCTGCTAGAAAACCTTGTTTGTATTTGAAATACAAGAGGAATGTAGAGAGATGTGATTTTCCAGTGTTAAGTACTATTCTTACATCAAGCCCTGTGACAGTGTCTAGTTAGCTGTGCATGAGTGACTGTATCTGTGGTTTCCCTCCTTCGCAGAAAAGAGCCAATCAGAGATGAAGTTTCTCACGGTAGCCCTCGTCATCGTCCTTCTTGCAGCAGCCTCTGCTAGACCCGTAAGCTAACCACTAAGCTCTTCTATCACTGTTCTCTCTTTCTCTCAGTTTCTGTGTGCCTCACTCAGTATGCATTGTTTTACTTTCATTTTGAAGCTGTCATTTTTTGTTTTCTGCTCAAAAGTACTACATTTTTGTATTTGCTTGAATAAATTATACTTTATATATGATATATCCTTTTTTTAAAATGTATATATATGGGTTCACTCCTGTGTTTGTCAGGTTTTATCTTTCTGGCAGTACTTCACTTAAGATAATATTTGATCTTCTGGTTTCACTGATTTTAAGACTGTTACTTCAACGCCACAAATGGCAATAGTAATAGTCATTGTCACAACCAAAGCATTGAATCAATCTAACAATTTGATTTATTGGCACAAATCTTTTGTGTGTTGACTTGAGGACTTGTTTGGATAAGTGTTATGTTGATGAGAGCATCCTTTCATTGGTTTATGCAGTTTATGAAAATATAGACTGTGGGTTTACCTGAATCTGATGGTATTATGTTGGCGGTATTTGCTTTTACTTAGATGGGTACTGATGACTGAGCAGATACTGACAGAAATTACCAGTGCAAGTAAAATTGACTCGGTATCATGAAGTTGATAAAACAGATACTGTGTTGTGTTCAATTCCCTGTCAAGAATGAAATGACAAGAGATGGTAATGTACGACTCTGTGGTGAGACCTGTCCATGAGTCTGTAGGGACTTTGTCAACACTGGAAAACAGCCCTCAGTTCTTCTGAGCTTTCCTCATACATTTCTCCGCCCTTGTAGTTGTTGCTCACTGTGATGGTGGCTTGTTATCTGGCTTAACTAATGCCATTGGCTAACAGAAGCCTTCCCCTTCTTCAAAACTCAATAGGAGCCTGTCTCTACTCAGCATTATCATTATTAGCAGACATATCTTCTCTGCTCTGGTATCATCATACCGGCGTCTGCTAACAGGGCTAGCAAATGTTGTAATCCAAAAAAAAACCCAAACCAACCTGGCCCTTTGTGAAAAAGGAATTGTCCCCTAAACCTTATAGCTGATTGTGCCATCCTTGGTGACAACTGGAATCAAGCATTTGCAGTAAGTAGCAGAATTCATGGTTCCATCAATTATAGCAAGTAGTCCAGGCCCTGAAGCAGCAGAGCCATCCCAGACCATCACACTACCACCACAATGTTTGAGTGTGGGTGTGAGGTTCTTTTACTCAAATACTGTGTTAATTTTACCCCAGATAAAACAGGATGATAACAATTTAAAAAGCTGCACGATCCTCAAAAGTCTTGGGGATCATCAAGATGTTTTGGTGAATGTGAGACTGGTATTTGTGTCTTTTTGGGTCAGCAGTGGTTTTGGCCTTCGAACTCTCCCATCGACACCCTTTTTGCCCATTCTATTTCTTATCGTTGAATCATGAACACTGACCTTAGCTGAGCCAAGTATAGCCAACAGTGCTTTACATGTTAGTCTGGGTTCTTTTGTGACCTCCTAGAGATCACGGCATGATGTGCTGCTTTTTGAGATCCTTTAGTCCGCTTCATGTTGTCAGACAGGTTCAATTTAAGGGATTTCTTGAATCTACAGGTCTGGGTATGGCTCATAAAACTGAACTCGGCTTTCCATAAATCATGGTTAATCACAGTTAATTCATGATTTAAAGGTGGGGTAGGCAGGATCTGAGGAAGGTTTACTTGTCAAGCAGAAAGGTTACAGGGTCTGTAAGATTCCAAAGTGTCCCCCGTCATTTTATGTTGACCCGGCTTTGCAGCTCATGCCCGGTCTACCTCCATTTTAAGCGCCTGTTATTCCACCACAGCCGTTTTCTTGCTTGTGTTGGCAGTCATGGCAAAAGGAGGATTTATACAATTTTCTGTACTTTCTGGTTGGTTTCTACTGTCCGATATTGTAGCACGCTAACTTTGTTTCGGCTCGTGAACGTTATTCGACAATGTGGAGCGTGCCTCACAACATGAGGGAGCAGCGTCTGCCTCACAACCAATCAGGTTAGGGGAGGCGGAGAATGGCTTTGTTTACAGTCAGAAAGAGCGGGCCGCTCAAAAAATATTTAAATGTTGACTACACAGACATAACAAAACACAGCGATATAGTTATATTACTGAATGTCATCAATAACTAATAACTATTGACTGATATTAAAACCTTTTTTGTACTACACCACAAAAAAAGATGCTTCTTGAACAGAACTCTGCCTACCCCACCTTTAACAGGAGGGGCAATTACTTTTTCACAGAGTGCCAGTTTTATTGTAATGTAAATGAAACTAAAAGAAAAAGGATCTACTCATGTTTATGTCAGGTAAATAAAGACACAGAGTTGTTGAGTGTAAAGTATCAAGAATAAATGGACTATCTGACTGAAAATTATGGACTTTTTTCTGTGGTTACTGAAGGTGATTTCTTTTTCATTTGATGTATCCTCTGTACAGCGTCGTAGGTGGTGCCGTCAAAGGGCCGACATTGAGGAGAGGGGTAAAGGACAAGGGAGGCCGAATGGGCATGGGCGGTGGTGGCGCTGGTGGTGTAATAGGGATTCCAGTCAAGAGGGCTCTTCCTCCGATCAGTCAAGTGATTCCAGTGCGTCTTCAGAGTCATCTGAGGAACGTCCCATGCCTGATCAGACCACCTCATCCATGCCCACCACTATGACCACCACTACGCCCAACATGACGACCACTACAGCCAACATGACCACTTCCACCTCAAATCCAGCGAATGCAACCACAGTTCCGATGACCACCATGCTCCCCGTAAACACAACCATGCCTGTTGTGGCGACGACTCCCACCGGTGTGAACCCAAATATGACGGCAGCTCCCATCACAGACAACAGAGGAGACAGCTGAGCTACTTTGATTCTCTCTAGACAGATTACTCAACAGTTAGTTATACCCCTCATAAAGATGTGTAATTTAAAGGATGATTGGGTCTATTTCTGAGAGTTAGCTACAATACGCATCATAAAATGTTAACATCTAATGATACAAAGTAGAGCCAAATCTAAGTAAATTAGAATTTTATTTTCTTGAGGGACCCTCCCCAAAAGGATCATTTAAGTTCTATCTAATCTAATATAAAAGTATACTATAAAAACAGGCAGGTATCCATACTTCGCTAGTTTCAGAGACCAAACCGGGGCCACATGATTTGAGATGTTAATGAAACTTTAATGTTAGCTTTGATAAAATTAGGTAGAAGAAATCCCTCATTAGCTCTTCTAATTTCACACGTGAGGTAAGGTGAAAAGGTCTGATTGGAGTTTAATATTAACTTATCTAACTCTGCAAGCTCACATTTGATTGGATATGTAAGTGATGAATTGAAAAGAACAATTGTTGATTGGTGATACTTGCTTAGAGGGAAGCCTCATTCTTGATTGTTTACAAAAATATTGTTCAAAGTATTCACCTTTTTTTGAGCATTTTATGAAGGATTACTTAACTGTTGCAACTGCAGAACAAATTTGTTTAATATGATGATTGAATTGTGTTCTCTGTCTATATATATACTGGAATTTAACAAAGTATGTAGCCCACAGCAGTGTGTGCACGCTTTGAAGGGTGTGTCCTGTTTGTCGAGTTAACTCTTGTCTATTGTCAGTACTTGCTGAGTAACAAAAAGTGAGTTATTACCATACTGGGTTCTTTAATTATGGGCTGTCAAATCTTTCTTTTCAAAATTTAAATATAGTTAGGAGGGCTGAAGACAACATCTTGTTGGTTTGTTGCACAAGTGTTGTGCATCATAATGTTAAACTGGATTTGAAGTATATTTGAATGTGTTGCTGGTTTCACTACTGCTCTTTTTGTTCTTACTGAGAAATAAAGCATCTTATCGGAAACTCTTATTTGTCTGATTCTTTAGTGAAAAGTTATTCTTTACATTATTAGAGTTAATGACCCTCAGGTTATGTAACGTGATCATAATTTCAACTTTCTCCTATAGCTTTTCAACATTATGGAGGGAGCTAAAGAAAAAATCCTATTTTAAACTTATTTTAGTTGTAAAAAGTTCTCAACTATACAGTCATCATTAAAATCTTCCACAAGTAACTGACTTCCAGTTGGATCTCAACCATGTATATTAGAAAAAAAAGAGGATGTAGTTTTCCTAAATAGGTTACCTAAGCTCAGTGGTTGACTTATGTGTGTTCCCTGACACATGTACAGTTTGCACTTTAAAATACAGATTAAATTTGTCAATTTGATGTCCTATTTTAGTCCTTAGCCATGCGTGTTTTTTCGGTTTCATGTCCTCAGTTGGCAGTATCTTTCATGATCTAAAGAATTCAAGAAAGACGGAAAACTGTCTTGTGTTGCACACAGGATGAAAATGTACATCTAAATGTTTTTACAGTAAATGATCAAACTAGAAACAATGCTATCATTGCTCTGAATAATATTGAAGGTGACAGAACAGAAACCTCCTGAGAGGTATTTTAAACTGGTTCTGAAACAATCTTTGTAATTCGGGATGCACACAAAACAGACCGCAGGAGTTTACAAATTTTAACTTGCAATACAGATATTACCGCTATTGATTTTTGTAGTTTGGTCAATCCTTGTGTAAATCCTGTTGTATAAATGATCATCATGTAAAAGCTATTATTTTGTATTCTGTTCATTATTCACACCAATTGAAGTCTCTTCTCCAAAATGTAACATTGAAATAAATAATTCTTACGTACTAATAAAAAGAAGTGAAACACTGATCCATGAACCTCCGAAACAACTGAAGTTTACAATGAACATACTAAAGCATGCGGATGCCACAAGTGCACCGCTTCACAAAATTCAAAACCAGTCTTGTTAAATTTGGTTTTGATTTCATGCTGTACTTCAAAGAGAGAGGCTTTAATTACGGCAAATAACGGACCGCTCTGCATGTCACAGCTTCATATCTTGCATAAGTCCAAGTGTCCTCAGTAATGAAGGAATATTTGTTATATGTTTTATTTATTGTTAAGAAACAGGATGTTTTCGGGAAGTTTAGGTCTTTCCATCCTTATTATAGTTATTTTCAAACCAAAACAGGCTCTGACTTCTAACTTTTGTTCACAGAGGCCCATCTGCTCTCTCAAGGAAAGCTGGGATGCTTTGAACATAAATACTGCAAGGACTTAGCCCCATCTAGTGGTGAAATCGTGTTTCATATGCCGATGTTTTGAGATTCCAAACCAGTTTTTTTTTTTTACATCTGGATCTGTTAAAACTTTACACAGCCAGATAATATTTCTGTGTTCAAATCAAATACCAAATTCTTAATCTGTGTGTGTAAGAACTTTAAACCAGCCTCTGCTCATTCCTTCCAGACTCTTTTAAAGGGAACTACAGTGATCACACAATATTTGACCTAATGAACGCTCATGTTTTTGATTCGTTAAGAATCCTGATGCTACAGCTGGTATCGCCGCCGCAGATACTTTGTCTTTTCTTCATACATCCCGATACTGCCCACTGAGCAATAGACGGCTATTAGACGTCTAGATTTTTTTTTTGGACCTATTTTCAACCGCCAAGATTCTGTATATTTTTAGACAGAATTTAGATGTTGCACTTTAACCCATTATTCGATATCTATTTATTTCAAAAATTATCTGTGAGTTGCATAACTGACTTCCAAGTACTTAACCAAAATAATTATGATAGCGGTTGAGCAATATACAGTTAAATCTCTGTTAGCCGGCTAGCCTAAACTTAGTCTAAATTTAGACGACTAAAAAACTTTCATTTTTAAACCTGTGGTAGCCTGATTTTAGACCAGTCGTCTAGGCTACATTTAGACGTCTATTAGACCTCTTTTAGACCAAAAAATGCTCAGTGGGTGCTCACTGCATTCTACTCACAAACTTAGCCCTGCTGGGTTAGCTGCAGCCTGAAGAGTAGCCAAACCTTTTGCGCTCTCTCTAAATTACGTGTATCAATTACGGGTATTTTTTTACAGTCTTAAATATAACTGTATTAATATATAACTGTAATATAACCGGTGACATAGACCGTGCTGTACGCTTATTCAATAGGAAAACATGATCATTTACTGTTGTTTACTCTCTGTGACGGAGCGCCATTAAACGCCCGTCATTAAACCGACGGGCGCGGGTCTCTCTCACGTGCCCTGAGTGCCGGGAGTGCGCACGGAGCGCGGTCGAGCCAAGCTCCATTTAACTGTCCAATTGCTTCCCTGCAGGCCCGCACCTGTGTCCCGCGGTCCTGCTCTTCTCCCCACTGTAGGCGTTTGAGGGTGCACAACTACAACTACACACCACACAGACACACACCGACTTACCTGCTGCCATCTTCCAAGCCAAACCGAAACACTTCCTGGTCTCCCGATAAATAGCGCTTCTTGGGGGTCATGTGACCACCAGACCCCACCATTAAAGTTCATTTGTGGTATTTTGTTCTGATTTAATGTGTTGTCAATGAGTAAGGTCACAGTTGTATGGAGGGCAATTAGTGCCTTTTGTCCAAATGTCTTTTGTTGAAATGTCTGATTTATTGATGAATTTTGTGTTGTTTTTTGCATATTGTGTCTTAAGCCCCTATAACTTGTTCATGGATGTACCCAGGGGAGGGGCTGAGGGGTATTTAAGGAGCGCTTTTCATCTATCTATCTATCTATCTATCTAATCACTCTTTGGTGAAATATCAAAACCAACAACAGGTGTCTCTTTTTATGAAAAACTTTATTAATATTTTAGAAATGGTACAATATGATACATTACAGTAAACGACATGGGACAAACAACATGTAGTGTCAGTACAAACTGTGCAAAAAAACAGGTCTGTGGTGTATGAGTATTGCATCTGTATGAATGGACCCTGTACTCTTTCATAACATCCTTTTAACTTCACCAGCAGATCTGATACCAGCGAGCAACAAAGCTTGACTGCACAGGCAGCAAATAGAATGGCCAGATATGTTATACATGTTGTGCATTACCATGGTGCAGTTATCAATTGATAATTTAAGGCAGTGTTTTGCTGTTATATTCATTAATGCGTAATTTAATTGTTCTTTTTTTTCTTCACACTTTTGACCTTTAGTAATGCAGTAACAGATTGGGAAGGGGTGAGCAAAGGTTGTGAGGTCAGTCGCCCTCCTGTTGTAGATAGCAGTCATCAGTTACACCACATTTCCCCTGCAGGGTTAAAAACAAGACTTACCAGGGTAACAAGACCACAGGCTGAGGGAATAACATTTATTTAAATAAAACCAAAGTGGACAAGTATTTCTGCTTTCAAAAGGATGCACAAAAATCACAGATATATTGGCTGAATACTCTTTGAATCAATAAGATTTAACCCTAGATTGTCCTTGTTCGGACCTGCAGTGGAAAGTGGCTGTGGAGGATTTTTTTGCACCTGGATGCAGCATGCACTCTGTATGTGAATCTTTTGGACACCACTATCCACTCCATTTCCTGAATGGGTGGAGTTTATTTGGCAGTGATGACCACTGGAGCATCACTGGTGGTGTCAGGTCCTGCGCCCTCCTCATCTGAGTCACTCTCACTGCTTTCACTCTCATCTGAGTCGTCATCGGCAGCTCCCGGTGTGGCTGTCGCCTCCTCGCTGCTCTGGCTCTCCTCATCCTCGGCCTCCTGGCTGGCGCTGGCACTATCGCTGGCAGTGCTGGCGCTCTCTTCCTCCTCCTCTTCTTCCTCTGGAGTGCTGGTGCTCTCACTCTCGCTGGTGGTGGCATCACTGGCACTGGCGCTGTCCTCCTCGGGGAGGGAGTCCTGAGAGGTACCAGAGGATGCATCCAGGCCCTGGCTCTCCACCTCAGGGGTGCTGGTGTCCTCCTCCAGGAGATCAGAGTGAACGTGAATTGCCTAAAGGGAGGAGATGAACATGAGAGTTTGAATTATTACTACTAAGGCTGTGTTAGTATAAAGACGTTGACAAAGACTGACATTCTCACAGGGAATGTCTCACAAGATGTAACTTGCTTTTTTTCTCTTAGCTTGATTGATAGTGTGTTTTTTCACGAATATTATGATCCTACTATTATTGTAGGGTGAAAGTATGATATCGTGACTGTCATTATTTGTAATAACCGTTAAATTGCTTGGTTGAAGTTCCTGAAGACATGTATTTTTACTTAATCTGAGCAGCTTTTTCAGTTGAAACATCCTCAAAATTTCAACTAAGTCGAGTAAATTTTGAATCTTTTTGACTGGGACGACTGAGAACCTTCTCTGACAATAGTATGTAGCATATTTTTGAAGGTTTGATCCCAGCACTTGTTTGCAGCGTCACATTGTTTCGCACCCTTATGTCAAATTTGGGCTACCACTCTCAGGAACCTTAGATAAAACTTTACCTTGTACACGTGCAGTGACTTGTCCACCTCATTGCCGTCTGTCATGTCATGGGCCATCTTCTTTCCAGTGTTCATGTACTCGTAAGACTTGTACGGAGAAGGGACCTTGTGGTAGGACTTATCCTCCACGTAGATGATGGTCTTGTAGTCGCTGGGATATCCTCCCAAGCTGTCGCCACGGGCTGCCTCCTCGTCTGTGACGATGGTGGGCTCAATTGGTGCTTCTGTGGTTTCAGGTAAAGGTTCCTCTGTGATGATCATGGGTGTGAGGGTGGAAGGAACCACGGTGGAAGACTCGCCTGATTCTGAGCTGTCGCTAGACTCGTCCTCCTCAGTTTCCTGTAGAGACAGAGGTAGGAGTTGAGCGGTTAGGATGCTGGCGTATAAAACGTTTGGAAAACTAGGACTGATAGTAGCAGAATTCTTTCAATGTATTTTTACTTACACTCTCCTCTGTCTCATCATCATCATCGTCGTCATCGTCATCATCACTGTCCTCACTGTCCTTGCTGCTGACAGAGGTCGTATCTGATGAAACTGTGGCTGAGACGTCTGATGTGACTTCAGCTGTAGCCTCGACTGCTGCCTGCAGCGGAATCATGAAAACACAAAGTTGTAAGCTTCACAACATCTGTATTGTTTTAACAACCAACCAAAGCCAAAGAGGATTTAGAACAACTAAAAAATTTGACATCTTACCTGGTCCTCATCTGAACTGTCGCTCTCGTCTGAGCTGGCGGCAGCTGCTGCTACAATATTCTGAAACAACAGAAAGAGACACATCCACTTAGACGTTCACATTTCAGACTTTACTGCTTTTATGAACACTTTCACAGCCAAAAGCAAATTCTAGTAAGGGACAATAGTCCACTAGGTGGCTCTCTATATTCAGAAGTCCCAGGTGCCGGCCACCAATCTGATAATCTGAATGCAAAGTTTACCTGTACAGGTGCTGCACGGGCCCTTGGAACGACTGCAACCTGTTTCCTGATGGGTTGAGCTGCTGGTCGCCTCACCTATGGACCAGAAATAAGTCAGTTTAGATGTTTGTTTTTATTTCCATCACTCTCTTTCTCTCTCTCTCTCCTCTATTTCAGACACTCACCACTTCCTCTGAACTCTCTGAACTGCTGACAGAAACTTTCCTGGCCTAAAAAGACAAACAAAGACAGTGAGAAACTGGATCTAAAGGATCGACACAGACACATAAAAATATGATTAAAGTAATATCTAAAAATAATCCATCTCAGGACAAATCTGATCTAGAAGTTTAGCAAAACGGACTCACCGGCCGACAGAGGACCGTGGCGAAGAGGAGAACGAAAATAACAGCCACTCTCATTGTGTCAAAGTTTGGTGTCTAAAATGGGAGAAAACCAGAAACAAGCTGGTTAAAATTATGCAGTAAAACATCATCGAGTAACACAATACAACAATGAAACATAACCATGATATTCAGGGATTGTACAATCCAAGATACTTGTTCATAGGCCACAACTTCAGAGGAAACACAATGACATGTCAAACTGAAAAATGAGCTGCAAGCCTAGTCAGTAAACCCCCTCGCCCAGATTCCTTCCTAAAAATGGAGGCGTCATGGTCACATGTCACAGGAAGTCAATAAACCTTTAATTACAGACTGGAATGAGAGGTTTTGTGTCCTTGAAAACTCGATAGACTAAAACATTTTGTCTGTCATCAGGCTAGACATCACATCGTTTGGGGTTGTGGTTTGTTTTACTATGAGACAGGGCACATTTGGCTGAATTAAGGCAAAAATATGTGAGAAAATAACATGTATGATCCAGAAAAGGATGGAATTAGTCCCTGGGCGTTTGACTGGAAAGATGTAAAGGAGGAAACCAGCATGTTTGCGATCGTCTGAGTCTAGTTTATGGTCTTCCTCATCATTCTGGATAGAAGACCTGGAGATTTTCTTCTCAAAATGGGTTTCTACATCTTTAAAAGTGCACTAAAGTCAAGTTTCATGTTTTGAAAAGATTCATTAAAGCTCCTGAAACAAGTTAAACAGCTAAAAGTTACACTGAGCTCTCTCTGTGATCTAAAAGAGCAAACAAGACCATCAACAAAAGGGAGGAATATCTCTACATGAATGCATATGTAGACTACTTCTTCCACAAGGGATGCCAACAACAAAGTTGCTCGATTAATTAACCAATAATTTAATATTAAGCTTTTCATTGGCTCAGAATTCATCTCATTAGAAAACTGCTGAATCATCTCATATTAATTAGTTGCAAGACAAATTTCTACCAAACTGTCATCAAGCTACTAAGCTCTGTGATAAATCCCAAAATGTTTGGGATGTGTATCTTGTCACAACATGAAGAGTTTACAACCTAGATCATTTTAGCTGTGACTTATTTTAGCCCAAACATACAATCCCTGCAGATGTTCTTTGGTCTGCTGGATGGTGCCCAGGGGAGGGTTTTTATCAGGCTGTAGTTGCGTAGTCAGCGGTATTCTGTGTGTGGTTTGTTGACAGTCATAGCTGCAGTAACTTACATGGATGATTTTAGAACACTTTTCATCTCAATGCTCGAGTAAAATATCATTACATTTCAGCTGTGCCCTGCCTTTTTGGCTGCATTCGTAAATGTTGTGAACAACATCTTTGCAAATACTTATATCTCTCCTTCTTTACGGTACCAAACTCTGCTTTTCATTTATGCTGTGGGAAAAGCGGTCTGTGTGTCTACTTCCATCTTTAATGATGGACTCTTCCTTATACTATATAATTCACCAGGTTATAAGTGGAAAGCCACAGCACAGCAGATCATGAAAGACGCCCATATGGCAGTATGTGTGTGTATTTCTGTACGCCTGTCTTTGTGAGGACTGGAGTTTGTTTTAGGCCCTAAGAGCGGACGCACATGTAGCTGGCGCATGTTTTCGTTCTTACAATTTTAAGAGATGTTTGGAGGTTGGGATTCAGACTCAAGGCTAGAACTTGGTTTAGAATAATTTTAGAATTCGTGGTTTAAAAACAGCATTAGTAGAAGGAACAGTCTGTGTATTTGTGTGCTGAAGTTCCCGCAAAGAACTTTCAGTTAGTGTGGATTTTGGCGCCCTCTGTGGACAAAGTGGTACCTAATGTCTTCGCTTGTTTTGTCCTCTAATAGTAACTCTACGTAAATAGTTTGTCTCTTTTCCAGTACTCCTGTTTGCTTTTGAAGATCACATGGAGGCATTTTCTTATCACAGCAGCTTTTCAAGTGTCAGGCCTTTAGATTTTAACATACATTTTTTTGTCTTTGCTTTGTCTGTTTTGGTCAAAGTTCTAATTTTAGGGTGAAGGCAAACTTTATGGTTTGTATATCATTTTAGAAACTCTTTTTTTTTTCTTTTGGTGAATTAAAGGAAAGGTTCAAAATAGCAACCTTGCATCTTTACCTGAAATGTTTTGCTAAAGCTAGCACATAGTTACCTTAGCCATCTGGAGAGGATGGTAGCAGAGGAAAAGAGTTAGCTTGGCTCTACCCTAGACTAAAACTGAAGATCATCATTAAATTTGTGTCTGTACGTGATGGTTTATACACATGACTTTATGCCTTAACCCCTATAGATTTTTCAATTCATTTGATAATGACTGTAAGGGTTGTGAGACTGCCTTACTCCTGATGTTGTAGAAATGTGGGAGAGACGATAATAATAGATTGTAATAGTATCGTCTTATGAGAACTGAGACTGCCACAGATAAAACATCAGTTTTAATAATGTCCCTAAATTTAAAGTGCAGGTCTGCCTGATTTGAGGCTTGTTTTGTAGACTAAACTCCTCCACTTAGAACCTCATAAAGGCCTCCACAGGTCTTTCGTTAAATACACCGTTGACTAAGCTAGTATCAATCAGCCTGAGCTGTGTCTGTTGTCTCTGTGTTTACTACAGTGTGGTTTGTCTGGGCTGCTCCTGGTAATGTTTTATGTTACCCAGAGGTTAGTTAGTTTCCTGCAGCCTACAGCCTCCCCTTCGTGCTCTGGTGTCATTGCAGCACTAATCAGCCAATCAAACATGGCACCCCCTCTTCGCCCTTGAATGTGAGGCACACTTCCACCACCATAAAGTCTTAAAAAAGAACTCATAATTAACTGTAATAAACTGCAAGGCCTTCATGGCGGATAACCAAATCCTCCTGTGGGTGTGATGCAAGTTTTCTCCACACTGAAAGCGTGTGCAAGTCCGTCAAAATACAACTTGATTTTGGTCGACTGGTTAAACCAAAGTGCATTGTAAGATTAGAGTGACAGTAACGGTCATTGAAATTTTCTATAAAAATCATGTAGATCAAGGAAAATGAAAATATACAAACTTGCAGATTTGTTGCTCAAGATTTTAAGAAATAATGTTTGAAAGGAAATGATTTTGCTTCCTCATAAACTAAACTAGGGTCAGCATTTGAAAGTGAAATTCATACAAATGAAAATACACGCTAAGGCCACTTACAGATATGCTTATAAGTGATGGTTAAACATCTGTTTCCTAAAACCATGAGCTTAACATGTAGCTAAGATGGTTTGAAGTCTTTTGGAGGAATTTCAAAAGGTACTGAGCCCAGCTACTTCGACTTTCCAGCCTAAACCTTTGAGTAACGAGTTTGATTGGAGTTAAAAGCAGGATTTTATGCTAGCTAGTCCAGTTGTTTTAGTTAGAATACCATTTTTATGCATATATTGTATGACCTTTTGCCACAAAGTTATTAGCAACCTGCTCGAAATTATGTCTACGGTTATACTGTTTACAGTTAATACCATAGACAGTATAAACCATCGTTGACATCATCGATTAGTTCGATTGGCTAAGGGTTCCTGAAGCACCCACTACAAGGGCGTGTTTTTTATTTTTATGTTTTAATTAGGTAAATTAGGTTATAGTTAGGTAATGGGATTTGCCAATCGGAGGCCTTGTTTGACATGACTGACAGGAAGGCACACCGTAGCTATTAAAGAGGGGGCTGAAGGCCTGCCTCAGATTGGTCAACCAGAAGTAAGGTTGGATCAACACTTCCAATATGGCGACCGCTGCCTTTCCTTGTGAATTGTTCAGAGATAATACCAAACTATTTAAACAGGTATTATAAGCAATTGGATTCATTTTGGACTATTTAACTTTGTATTGCCCTGCTGTGATGTAATAATAACACCATTTTCATTTGACCCAAAACACTGTTTTCTGCATTTTCTGCACTGATGACAAAGTTTTCATGTTAACATTCACAAATAAACAAAACTGTATAAACTGGTACAAATATATCTCTGAGCAGACTTATGAAACCTGTGGTTTACAAATACTCCGCTTTGGCACAAGGAGGCCAAAGCTTGGACCATGAGAACAGACAAAATGTCTGTGAAAGTTTGTCAAAAGAGCCGTCACTATACTTTTGCTTTATTTCTCGAGCAGGGAAAATCTTTGAATCCTTTCATTATGCATGCTTCTGTCAAGTAAACACTCAGTACAACCACTACACTGCCTTTCACTTCCCACCATACCAACAGAAAACTCACTTAAGCCCCTGTGGATATTATGCTCATGTACACCTGTATAACATGTGTATTCTTTCATACCTTGTTTGCAGTTGCAGGAAGTTCTAGGAGTTCAGCAGATGGTGAAGCAAAACCAGGCAGATGTGGTTTGTCTCAAGTTTATCTCCTGGGTTTCCCTGGATGTTGTTCGCTGCTCAGTGATGCTGCTGCCTGAAGCCCAAAGGTCCTGATTGGCTTTTAAACCCTTCAGCTTGAGACAACAGCCAATCAGCTCACAGCCTGTGATGTCATGAGGTTAACCACTCCGTGGTCCGCCTCTCCTCTCTCTCCCACTCTTCCTGTGGTTAGTGCTGTGGTGGTGTGGGGGCAAAAACACACTCACTCACACACACACACACACACCATGCAAAGACAAATACATGGATAAAACTTGCCGACATTTACGGCCCAGACAGAAGCATGTAAGCAGTTTTTGCCCCTCTCACTTCACAAACACGCAAACACTCACACGTACGCACACACTTGTACGAGTATGAAGTTAATTTAAGGACATGCAGTGACAGGCTCTGGGAAATAACTGCAGCGTGGAGTGGCGGGTGGTATGACAGTGATTCAGCTTCCTCACAGACAGAAGAAACTCATCTGACTGAGGTCTGTGGATAATTGAAGAATTTGTCTGTGAAACCAGACTGATCTGTCTTCAACTGTCAAACAAGGGAGGAGAGACATGTTTTTTTTTTTTCTGTTTGTGTCTGTGTAACAGTCTTTGTTGTGTTTCCAAGAATCTGTCAGAGTTTTGGTTGAGTTTTTTTTTTTTGAGTGTGTCTGTGAGTTCGTGTGAACCTTGAGGTATGGATCAACTTCCAAGAGCTCTGCAATGCTCAACAGGTGTAAATAAAAACAGGACAATCAAATCTAGACATGGATTCAAAATCTATGTCTAGACTCAAAATCTGGCGGGTGTTCGTGTCCTATTTCAGGCAAAAAACGTCTAATTTCTACATATTGTATGCTAAAAATAAGACCCTAATTGTTTGTAATGAAAAACTCTGCCAATGGAACAATAAATAAAAAGCAATTTGGGTCATTAATTTGGACTTTTTGTGTAAATTGCTCAAATTAAGCCTATTTGAGCAATTTTCTCTAAAATGGAGACAGACACACTTGCTAAGTTTTAAAATTTGTGTATTGTTCTTGTCCTGTTTGTTTCTAGTAAATACTTACTCAAGACTAATAAGACTTTCCAAAAAATTCAAAACTAACCAGTTATTTTACACCTTGTAAGTACATATGACAAAAACACTTAGGAAGAAAAGAATTAGTTAAGTCAACATAGTTCATTTCTCCATCTACAACTTCAAACTCTACCATGCGAAGACAAAGACAGATATCAACAACAGCCAGAAGCTCGTATGAGATGGACTGACCCAAAGTAGAAAAGTCTGCTGTTGTCTGATGAGTCCACATTTAGAATAGTTCTTGTAAATCATGGAAGTTGTGTCCTCAGGGCTAAAGAGGAAAAGGACCATCCAGACTGTTCTTAGGTCAAAGTTCAAAGCCAGCATCTGTGATGGTCTGGGGGTGTGTTTGTGTCTATGACTAACTGACACATCTGTGAAGGCAACATTAATGCTGAAAGGTAAATACAGGTTTAGGAGCAACATATGCTGCCATTCAAGCCACGTCTTTTCAGGGACGTCCCTGCTTATTTCAGCAAGACAACACCAAGACGTGTTGGCTTTGTAAGGTTGTGCATTATGAAGTGCAAAATACTGCAACAGAGAAATACAACAATCGCCTCAGGGAAATGTCAACAAAATCTGAAAGATCATCTTCCAATTGGTCAGACAGACAACAGCTGTTGAGGAAAAGTACAGGAGATTTGGCAAGACCAGAAATGTGTGTCACCATGTGGATCGCTCTCAAGATTTGAGATCCGTGTTGTTTTGACATGTAGATACATTTTTAAGGAGGTCCGTGTCAGGCTACATGTAAAAAAAAAGAAGGATGTAGATGTCAATAAAATCACAGTTCCTATTGAAACCTCTCCTACTATCGGCACAATAATCATTTTCAAGGTACTTTGATAACAGAATATTTGCTTCAATCCTTCAACCTGTTTTGTGACTTCATAAAAGAAAAAGAAATAAAAGTACTTTTATTTGATAAAACTGAGAAAAAGCGCTAATATTTGAGCACTGAATATCTTAGTACTATATAAACTTAGCTATATGTATGCATGTAGAGCAGCTCTAGTAGTTACGTTTATGATGACTTTTATGTTTATACTGTGTCTATCAGGCTGTCTGCAACATAAAACTGAACTTATGTTTGTACGTGCAGTTGGACATTAAAATATTATGCAAGAGTACCTACTTGAGTTTGTAAGTGTGTATACGGTCTATATGAGGCCAGCCAGGCTGCTAGTGAGTCAGACATTAACACTCACAGACAGACTAGAAAATTTATTACTCAATCAACTTTAATGCTTCACTCGTGTCAGCGACGCTGCAGGTGTAAAAATAAGAATTACGAGAGAATGCAAAGAATGCATGTCTGTCTCGATATAACCCACTGAGACCCCTTTTTCATTTGCTTTTACATTAACTCCCACCGCATCAGTCTCACTTGCAAATTAGTTTACAAATTAGGCTAGACTTATGGATGAGAATTTGCTGTAATGAATGCTCACTTTAAAATGTAAGACATTAAAAAAAAAGTAACTTCAGTATTTAGGATAATAACAGGGCATTAGAAAGGCATAAAGACACTTTTAAAGTTTAAACTTGACCCATTTTTTCTAAATATATCTCTATGTGTACAGTATATATGAGTATATTTGTCTGTATCTTCATTTTGAAACCACCATTTGTTAAGGACTCGTACCAAAAAAAAGAAAGAAAAAAAAATTGGGACGCTGTTAAAATGTTGATAAAATAGATATAATATTGATAGAAATCAATATTAAATCGAAATAGTATAAAGTCATTAAACTGAATGTTGAGACTGAAATGATATTTAAAAAGGAAGAAAAAGATTCAGAGATTCTGGGGAAATTTCTGTACAAAATGGACAAAACTGGTAACTGATACTGGTTTTACTGTGATCTTTGGGCACTCAGGTGACACTGCATTAAAAAAGACAGACTTAACTGTACTCTAGAAATCACTGCATGGGCTCAAAAACAGGTCTATCAAAAAATTGTAACCCATCCATAATTTGAACCTCAAACTTAAATTGAGTCTAAATGCAGATAAAAAAATTAGCTGTAGAGCACTTACAGGGATCAAACTGATTGCACCACACATCGAAAGCGTTTGCCATAATCAGTGTATCAGTCAACAGCCAATAGTCATAACTCGACCTCACTGTCAGTGTTTACAGATACGCTCTGTGTCATCACTCTGATCAAACACGTTCAGTGCTGACAGTTTGATGAGTCGCGGGCCTTTGAGTTCCAAACGTATAATTACAGCTGCGCAAATCAAAGTTTTCTGCTTTGGCTGACACGCTAAGATGTGAAGTTCCACAAACCCCATAGGTGTGTCCTGACCCCTAAAAAAAACCCATCCCTGTCTGATTCGCAAAAATCAAATCTGTATTCTGAGAATAAGTGTGTCAAGTATTTACTTGTGTAACATTATCTTAAAGATGACTGTATGTCGTCTCATTCTTGAGCTGGAAAACATACACTTTTGAAGATTCGCTGATGTTATCAATTTGTGTTTTTATTTTGTGAGCAAAGTAATATGTCAGGAACAGGGCAGATAAAATGTCCTTTACCTGTACTAATGAAGCACTACCCGCCCCCCGCCTGCTTGTTTGATATCAGATCTAACAACAACATATGCATCTTAGTCGAGCCTAATATGTCAGAGGACATCAGTCAACCCAAAGAACGAAAAAACTCCCAACCAAGTCGGAGTGCTGGCGAAAAATGAACAGTAAAAATGTCCCATGTGATGAGTGGAGGATGGTCAGAGACAGTGAGTCTCCTCTTTGGCCTCCTACATTTTCCAACAATGGGGAAAAAAAACACATCTGAGTGGTGTGAACATGTTTATTTGGAAAAACACAATTGCGCTGTTTCATGGTTCAATAAAATAGTCGCCAAAAATGAACCAAAGAGGAACTTAAAACAAAACTCATTAAAAAGTTTGTCACCTCGTGAGTGTGTTTATATCTCGTCCTGTTAGTTAATGGTGCTTGAAGTCCAAGTGTGGGATGTGCAGACATTCATTTGTGCGGCATATACAAACTCTAAATGGTAAAATGTTAGTGCTGTATAGTGTTCATGAATAATTCAAGTGGATAATCCCGTCTCACTGACAGCTGTAGTATTACAGTCATACCAGCATATTACCATCAGCCCGACAGTTCATCCTTCTAGGAGACGTCTCGGGCACCTCAAATCTTCACAACAAAAAGTCTAGCATGTTTGATTTTCCATCTGTCTTGAATGATTTGTTCCCTCTTGTCACTGATATTAACCAGAGTGCACCACACATTGCTAAAATCACTAGCATAAACAAACCCAATGGTAGGCAGAGGAAGAATGATGAAGTTGGTGCTACCTGATGGGACTATGAGAGAAAGTTTGTTGAGTCATGGCAACAACGTACCCGCCTTTAGGTTGTGTTGTGGATGGATAACCATGAAAGATTGAAAAAAGAGAAACGTTGTCCAGACAGAGCAGAGACACCGAACAAGCCGGCAAGTAAATGCCGTTAGCATTGCCATATTGTCTAGTTCTAACCCTCTTCCTTCCAACGTACTCTTGTTGGTCATAATGGACCGTTGTGTGGACTGTCATATCTCTTGGCGAAGTCACTGCCCAACTTTATGGTTTCAGTGATTTGACACAGTGGCTGATGTGATGAAGAAATTATGTCGTCTGGCCTTGGCTTTGGACTTTCTGTCAGGATGTTGTACAGCCTTGAATTTTGTTCACTATGACACATAACGCCAGCCATTCAATTTTCAGAGCTGACAGGTCCTGACACTTGACCGCATTGGGCTACATAATCATGTCTGAAACCTGTTTGTTGTTAGTATTGCATCCCTATGGGACAAACATTGACAGAAAAGATGCCCACAACAAATGTATTAGAGCAGCGTGTAAATGATTCAAGCTCTTTGAGGGTCTCTGATAAAGCGCTATAAAAGATCATGCAGTATTAAATGCAGTATTATTATTAAATTTA